TATGGTCCATTAGAATCGTCTCATCGAGATGAACATTTTGGTAATTGTTTCATCGAAAACGGACCAGTGGATCAAAAGTTATCCACAATTAAATATTATTGGAATTTTTAATAGTAAATTCCACAAATCCGCCGATATGCTTTTCCTAAGTAATTTCATTATATAATCACTTAAACTTTAACCTTATTCTAAATGCTACATTAATGGTCTTTAAAAAAAATTTGTTTGCGCCACAACCTAGCCCAGAATTCTTTAATGCAATATTCATAAATGACTTATTTAATAAAATTATTTTTATACTACCTAAATTAAAGCGAATAAAAGAAAATTTAATAGTAAACATTCATGAACAATTATTGTAAATACTTAGAGTATTGAATGAAATAAAATAATAATAATACTTTTTTAAAAGGGTATTGATATTCACAAATTGTGTTTTATATTGTGAGTGAAAATTGTGAACAAATGGACATTTAAAATGCTATGGCAATTAGCTGCAATATAAATATTCAAATTATAGAAAAAAAAGTGAGTTCCGGAGCTCGCCAATGGACCAGATACGACTTCAAACAATTTAATAACCGAAGATCATAACTAGGGATGAGTACCGGTCGGTCATTTTCGGCTAACCGTTTTATGACCGTTGGCTGTATCTCACGATCCAGTGATCCGAATCGGATGATTTTGGTACCATTCGATTTGTCACATTGAGATAAATCGAATGGTATCGAAATCATTCAATTTGGACCACCGGATAACAAGATACAGCCAATGGTCATAAAACGGTTAACCGAAATGACGATTACGGTACGATTCCCCGAAAGCTATTTACCTGACAGGTCACTTATCCGACATCATATATGCTTAGGGTTAGCATTTGATTAGCTGCAGGTATATATTTTTAGCAATTTGTCACTCTTGTGATGTCGGGTAAGTGACCTGTCGGGTAAATAGCTTTCTGGGAATTGATCCCTAATCATGACCGTAATCCCTATTATTTGTTTGACTTTTAAATTAGCGTTAGGAAGTCAAAGTCCAGTAGTAACACCACATAATGTAATATAAATTGAGCATGGGAATGTTGCATCCGGAGTAGGTACGTACGTGCGTATGTACTGTACCTACTGTCACAGGTTTCCCGTGACAAGTGATCTAAGTAATTTGAGGATTAGATATCGGTTAATCGGTCTAATTTGGTGATAATTTTAATTATCAAGAAGTTTGGAATACAGCGAAAAAGCCCTGATCATTGAAATTGAAGTTTCAAAAGCTTTAGCGAATGAAACTGTAGTTTCAATCTATCATGATTAATACAAATTTTCTGACAATTTTTAAAAATAAACAACGAATTACGCTATCTTAAATTTGAACTAATCCAAATCAAACTAGCCCATGAGTTACGATCAGTGCTAAACTGTGCATGTGCGTGCACTACTTTCCCAAACGATCGTAGCATTACCTACCTCTAGCAACTTTAGATATCTAGAATAGCACCTAACTGAAGCCCCTAAATTTTAGATCTTCATGCATTAATTCTGGTCAGGTGCTACTTTAGTACTACTTAAGGTAGTTAGCTATTCCAAATGCAACAAGAATATTAGATGAACGACAAATGATACGTATTATCATCACAGTATTGGGGATAGCTGAATAGAAAGATGTATGCGCAGTTTAAATTGTGTAAATTGAATCCTTTAAGGTGAGACTCGAATATCTTAGCGAAAAAGAGAGCATTTAGTTACAGTAATATACATTACATTAGATATGAGAGCGGATACTGTCTTTTTAAGAACTATATTTCATATATACTGATTAATAAGGAAAGTCGATACTTGTAAAATCAACTTTAATTAGTCGACTTAACCATATAAAACCAACTTAACCGAGTATTAAATAAGTTGTCAGCTAGCACTAGTATTTTGGTATCTAGTTCTGTAACCAGAATATCATTACGGCGCATTTGTGTAATTAAGAAAATTAAGCAAATATAGTAAAAAGATGGTGGTAAGATGAGTTAGACGTCAGATTTGGGGTGCAGTAGTATATCATAATTGAAATAAGGACATGTTTCACAATTATCATAATAATAATCTAACCATATCGATATGTATACATGAAGTCAAATTCAATTGACTCACTATCAGTAGTCAACCTTTTCAAATTTTAGGGTAGTTTACAAATGCACTGTAATGTTATAAAAATCGGGTTTTTAAGGTAGAGCATGATGTATCAAACTTTAATATTATGTATTGTACGTACCTTGAAATATGATTGGTATTTGTGTCACTCGATAGCATCCGTTAAAGTCGACTTAGTCAAGTCGAAATTTATGATTGACTTAGTTCACTATAAGAGAGTACGCTTGGAGCCTTCATGCCATCACGCCAGTTTTCATAAGTACTATATTGAGTAAATCAATAGAAACGAAGCACAAAAGGATTTTTTTTAAGTTAAAAACCAAGATCTTATGAAAATATTCATAATTTACATGGTGCATTGCAAACCTGGTAAAGGTCCATTTTTAAAGGCTAGTATACTACACCGGTCATACATGATTGATCGCCCTTAAAATTAATCAAGACACAATAAATTTCTATGTATTCCTTGTATTCATTTACTAACAAAGTTCATACGTAAATGAGCTTGAAATTTTTTGAAGATATGGCTGAAGATTATAAGCAGCTTTATGAATCTAGGGATGATTATGATGTGATTATTTATGCTGGCGAAAAGCCCAATTCTGAAGAAATTCATGCTCATTCTTTAGTACTTCGTACCAGGTCCGCTTATTTTCGTGGTGCTATTTCCTCTAGTTGGGCAATAAAAGATAAAGATTATGGTTGTTTTATCTTTAAGAAGCCCAATATCTCTCCATCAGTTTTTGAACTTGTACTTAAGTAAGTAATAAATTAAATTAAAAATAAATTATTATAATAGTTTTTACGCAATATTAAAAAGAAAGTATAATATTATTCGTTTAATAAATAGATTTTTATATTGTGGGGAAGTAGATATTAAAGATCAAGAAGGAGAGACAATCTTAGAGCTTTTGTTTGCTTCAGATGAATTTGGCCTTACGAAACTTATTGACCATGTTCAACAATATTTCGTTGAAAATCACAAAGACTTTTTACAACAAGATCCTGCAAAAATGCTTCATGTTGTTGCTCGTCATGAAGCTCTTGATGAGATTAGAAAACATTCATTAGAAACCATTGGAACAAAACCTGAAATTATATTTGGTTCAAATAAGTACCTTTCACTTGACGAACAAACTTTAATACTAATTCTTAAACATGATGGACTTGAGATGGAAGAAAGCGAAATTTGTGAACGATTAAGCAAATGGAGAATTGCTCAAAATCCAGAACTTGAGAAATATGATGT